TTGTATTTTTAGTAGAGCCTTATTGGCCAGGCTGGTCTTGAACTCCTGACCTTGTGATCCACCTGCCTCAGCCTCCCAAAGTGCTGGGGTTTCAGGAGTTAGCCACCATGCCTGGCCCTCCTCTTGATTTTTTTAAAGTAACATTTTTAAAGTAAATTATTTTTATTGGGGTAAAATATACATAATATTAAATGCACTATTTTAATGATTTTTAAGTATATCGTTCAGTGTATTAAGTATATTTATATTGTTAAGTAAACATCACTCTCATCCAGCTCCAAAATGCTCTTCATCTTACAAAACTGAAACTCTATACCCATTAAACGGTAATCCCTCATTTCCCCACCTCCTAACCCCTGGCAACCACTATTCCATTTTCTGTTACTGTGACCTTGACTACTCTAAGTGCCTCATATAAATGGAATTATACAGCATTAGTCTTTTTTTGATTGGCTTATTTCCCTTTTACAAATTTTTTAAATTTTTATTTTTATTTTTTTGAGATAGAATTTCACTCTTGTCGCCCAAGCTGGAGTGCAATGGCATGATCTCAGCTCATTGGAACCTCTACCTCCTGGGTTTAAGTGATTCTCCTGCCTCAGCCTCCCAAGTAGCTGGGATTACAGGCACCTGTCACCACACCCTGCTAGTTTTTGTATTTTTCGCAGAGATGGGGTTTCACCATGTTGGCCAGGCTGGTCTTGAACTCCTGACCTCAGGTGATCTGCCTGCCTTGGCCTCCCAAAGTGTTAGGAATACAGGCGTGAGCCATCATGCCCAGCCTGGCTTACTTCCTTTAGCATAATGTTCTCAAGGTTCATCTGTGTTGCAGCATGTGTCAGGAGTTCATTCCTTTTTCCAGCTAAATAATACTCCACAAATAAGTAAATGTGTACTATATTATGCTTATTCATTGATCCACAGTGGATATTTAGGGTGTATCTACATTTTAGCTATTGTGAATAATGCTTCTGTGAACATGAGTGTACAGATATCTCTTCAAGAGCCTGCTTTTAATTCCTTGGGGTATACACCCAGAAGTGGAATTGCTGGATCATACAGTAATTCCATTTTTAGTGCTTTAAGAAACTGCCATACTATTTTTTTTTTTTTTTTGAGACAGACTTTCACTCTGTCACCAGGCTAGAGTGCAGTGGTGTCATCTTGCCTCACTGCAACCTCTGTCTACCAGGTTCCAGCAATTCTCCTGCCTCAGCCTCCCGAGTAGCTGGGACTATAGGCATGCACCACCATGCCCAGCTAATTTTTGTATTTTTTAGTAGAGATGGGGTGGCCATGTTGGCCAGGCTGGTCTCAATATCCTGACCTTGTAATCCGCCCGCTTCGGCCTCCCAAAGTGCTAGGATTACAGGTGTGAGCCGCTGCACCCAGCCCATACTATTTTTTAATGGTGGCCATACCATTTTACAATCCCACCAACAGTGCACAAGGGTTCTGATTTTTCTACATCCTTTCCAACAATTGTTATTTTGTTTCATTTGTTATTTTTTTATGGTAGCTGTCCTAATATGTGTGAGGTAGTATCTCACTGTGTTTTTTATTTGCATTTTCCTGAAGATTAATGTTAAGCATGTTTTCATATGCAAATTGGCCATTTGTATGTCTTTTTTGGAGAACTGTCTATTCAACTGCTTTGCCCATTTTTGAATTGGGTTGTTTGGTTTTTGTTGTTGTTTTTAGAAGTTCCCCATATATGCTAGATGTTAATCCTTTATCAGATATATGATTTGCAAGCATTTTCTCCATTCCATGGGTTATCTTTTACTCTGTTTTGTGTCTTTTGATGCACAAAATGTTTAAATTTTCATAAAGTTCAGTTTGTCTATTTTTTCTTTCGTTGCCTGCACTTTTGGTGTTATATCCAAGAAATCATCATCAAATTGAATGTTGTGAAGATTTTGTCCAATGTTTTCTTTCTTTCTTTCTTCCTCCTTTCTTTCTCTCTCTCTCTCTTTCTTTCTTTCCTTTTTTTTTTTTTTTTGAGACAGAGTTTCACTCTTATTGCCCAGGCTGGAATGCATGATTTTGGCTCACGGAAACCTCCACCTCCTGGGTTCAAGTGATTCTACTGCCTGGGTCTCCCGAGTAGCTAAGATTACAAGCACACACCACCACGCCCCGCTAATTTTTTGTACTTTTAGTGGAAACAGGGTTTCTCCATGTTGGTCAGGCTGGTCTCGAACTCCCAACCTCAGGTGATCAGCCCACACCAGCCTCCCAAAGTGCTGAGATTACAGGTGTGAGCCACTGTGCCCAGCCTTGTCAAATGTTTTCTTGCAAGAGTTTTATAGTTCATTTATATTATTCCTTTCAATTTATTTTTAGAGCTTTATTTTTCCAGATAAAGTCTTCAGCCTAAACATGTCCTAGGTAAAATACACACAGATAAATTACCCGTTGACAAAACCCAAAGATGATTCATGTGTGCACGCACACACATGTTTTAGGATATCACTTGCCACTAGAAATAGAAAAAGCTTTTAATAGCAGTACAGAAATAATGCTTCTGTGAACATGGGTGTACAAAGCTCTCTATATATATTCTCTCTATATATATGTGTATATGTACACACATACACACACACACACACATGCACGCACACACACACACACACACACACACTCTAGATAGAACAGGCTAAACTGCTAAGAAAACCAAAAAAATATATAGCAGTTCAAACAAAAAAAAGATGATTTCTTGCTTAACATCCAAAATGAATATATCCAACTGACAGCAGGCTTTCTTCAACGTGATGCTTCAGAGACCCATGCTCCTTCCTTCTTGTGCTTTTTTTTTTCTCTGACACAGGGTCTCACTATGTTACCCAGGATGAACTTGAACTCCTGAGCTCAAGCAATCCTCCCACCTCAGCCTCCCTAGCAGCTAGGAAATATTTATGCCATCTTTAACACATGGCTTCCAAGGCTGCCATGTCCCTTTGTGCCAAGCTGGTGAGAGGGGATGGAGGAGCCACACTTGCTTGCTTTTTTTTTTTGGAGATGGAGTCTTGCATTGTTGCCCAGGCTGGAGTGCAATGGCATTATCTTGGCTCACTGCAACTTCCTCTTCCCGGGTTCAAGTGATTCTCCTTCCTCAGCCTCCTGAGTAGCTGAGATTATAGGCACCCACCACCATGCCTAGCTAATTTCTTTGTATTTTTGGTAGAGGTGGGGTTTCACTACATTGCCTAGGCTGGTCTTGAACTCCTGACTTCATGATCTGCCCTCTTTGACTTCCCAAAGTGCTGGGATTACAGGAGTGAGCCACTGCGTCCAGCCCCATACCTGCTTCTTAACCACCTTATTTTGGAAGTAGCACATATAGCTTCTACTCTTAAGTCTGGCAATAACTAGTCACCTGGTCATTCCTAGATGCAAGGCAGCTGGGAAATGCAGCCCCTGCTAGCGCAGCTGCCTTCCAGTGACTGTTCTGTGTCTGCACTGTCCAACAGGGTAGCCATCATGTGGCTATTGGGCACTTGGAATTTGGCTCATCCAAGTTGAGATGGACTGTTGTAAAACACACACCAGAATTTAATGACTTAGCATAAAAATAAGAATGTAAACATCTCGCTGATAATTTTTATATTGATTACATATTGAAACAGCAATATTACATATATATAGGGTTAAATAAAATATATTTAAAAGATTGATTTCACCTGTCTTTAAAAATATTCTTAATGTAGCTACCAGAAAATTTTAAATTACACATGTGTCTTGCATTCTATTCCTACTGGATACTATTATAGAAATTAGCTTTCTCTGTTACACAGATTATCTATCTTAATAGAATCAGGATAGAAAATACATATGGGCCACACGCAGAACTACAAGGAGAAATTGGAAAGGTCTTTGAAATCAAAATGAGTCCACTCTCTTTTTCTTTCTTCCTCCCTCTGCCACTGAAGCTGCATGGTCACTGGTCTTTATCTGACTACCTACTGGTTTGTCCATTTTTCCTTTCTCTGCCTGTATGTGTGTGTCTCTCTCTTCCTTTATCTCTTTCATCTCTGTTGCAATCCACTGTGTCCAGGAAGATGGGGTCATGTGGCTTGCTGCCCATTCACCAATGGGAACAGGTTCTCAGGAATAGGGCACAGCTAGGTCAGACAAACTGATTGACATGTTTGCTTAGCATATAAAATGTGTAAACACTATGTGGGCTTGGCAGCTGTCAACATTCCCCAGTTTTTGCACTTAACAGACTATATTTGCTTTGAGGCCTTTTTTAAGTACTCTGTGTTGAATAGGTGACACATCTAATCTGAGAGTATATTATTTAATTCATGTCATCACTAAAGAAAACATGTAACTAATCTTTTACTGGGGCTTGTACCAGTGCCCAGAAATAGTCAGCATCACTGACAAGCCTCGAATTTCCAACAGCGTACCTTGAACTCAATGCATATTCATATTATAACAGATTTCACCCATTAGAGCAGGCTCACCATATGCATCAATTATATGAGGGTATAAACTTAATAAATGGGTGACATACTCCCAAATATAACTTTCCTGTAGGTCTGGAACTTTGAAATTTTAGTGTCGTTTTCTGTAGTTTAAGAAATGTATCCAAGCGGCCCCTGTTAAAACATATATATGTGACCTAGAGACATTATTAGATTACCAGATGCTTTTACATCATCAGCAAGTATTTTTGTGCTAGACATCATCCTAAATCCATTCTCATCATTAACAATTTATCAGAAATAGATTTTTTGAATATTAGCTTTCCCCAGATAAAAAATGGGGCCCATAAAAAATGGAATGACAAGTAGTAACTTTTGTAGAAAGACAAGATTTGATTCACTTCAGAATATGCCATGAGAAATGAGCTTTAGTGGGATGCTGCAGAGGAGTTCCAAATAGCTCAGGTGTGGACTAGGACCCTGGGCATTTGGGAGGGAAGGGAGGTAGGAGATGGTACAGAAAGGGGAGGCAGTGGTGGCCCCAAAAACGCTTTTTGCCTACTTTACCATTCTGATGGAACTTGAGCTTTGACAATGATACTCTTCTTTGCTGCTCCATTTCATGGCCCTGCTTTGGGACTATGATCTTCAAAGTCAGCAGGAGTCTTCTAAGTTCCTCAGGGTCTTTTGGGCTGGTCTCAATAAAGGGATGACCTTCCATAAATGAGCTAATGAATAGCAAAGGGAAATAATTCAATCAATTATTACTGCATTATTTTATAACCACATATATGCACTAAAAGACTATTTAAAACATTAAGACACTTCTTAACATCCATAAATCTGTAATAAAATTTGAACTTATTTTTAAAACTTGGGTTTAGCATTTCACTGAATTTCATTAATTTTTCCTCCCTAATAGCCTGAGTATTCTGTTTAAGGTAACATCATTTGGTTCATATTATCTATAGGTATATATATATTTCTTTCACATATATTAATATATATTATTAAGCTCATATTGAGCAGGAAGGAAAATGGCTAGGAAATTTCAAGAAATAAAAATTGTGTCATAGTGTATATGGATTAAATTTATAGGAAGCTTTATTCTACCTTTTACTCAGAAAAATTTTCTAGGTCAATAAGACATCAAAGGTTTTTTAAAAGTTGACTAATGGATTAAAAGAAAGCTTATAGGTTTTTACAACTCTTTGTGGTTCATAATAAAAATTAAAAACCATTGAATAGAGTTCAAATTTAAGATGTTTAAGGTGAAAAAAACTAACTAAAAAAAGCATTTTATTAAAATTTTATTGCAAAAAATTATGACTAATGCAAAAAATTAATGAATGCAGAAAATTATGACTAATTTTATTTTGGCTTAAACACTGATACAATATTTATAGAAAAATTATAATTTTCTTAGTGTTTATTATTATTATTATTTTTTGAGACTAAGTCTTGCTCTGTCACCCAGGCTGGAGTGCAGTGGCTCAGTCTCGGCTTACTGCAAGTTCCACCTCTCAGGTTCAAGCGATTCTCCTGCCTCAGCCTCAGGCGGAGCTCAGACTACTGGCCAGTGCCACCACGCCCGGCAATTTTTTTTTTTTTTGTATTTTTTGTATTTTTAGTAGAGACAGGGTTTCACCGTGTTAGCCAGGATGGCCTTGATCTCCTAACCTCATGATCCACCTGCCTTGGCCTCCTAAAGTGCTGGGATTACAGGCATGAGCTACCGCACCCAGCCAATTTTCTTAGCTTTTAACAATATTCACTTATATATTGTGTTAAGATATCCTCAGACAAAAAAAGAATACCTATGTGAGCAACTGCAAAAATGAAAGGGTTTGGGGAAATTTCTTTAGCCAATTTCCTTAATATAACGACTTGGATAATATGTAAGAGTGGCTAGGATCTTTAAATAAGAGGTCAAGAGTTAAGACAGAGCACACCAAGAGGACTATTTGCTTATTAAACTAAAAGGGAGAATAAAAAAAGAATGTTACTAAGGTAGGAAACAGGCAAATCTATAGACCTCTGAGGAGTTGGTTTCTGTAAATACGGGCCTCTTTCCCAGTAAACTGTCATTTCCTACCTGTGCTGTTTAGCTTAATAGTAGAATTTTACCATAATCGAAAGTTAAGTAAGGCTTACTAAAATTCTTGAGTGTTTTGTTTTGGTGAATTCCATCGTGACTACGACGCCGATTTGTGGGAGTCTGACATAAATGATACATAATGTTGGAAAATTGAGTTTAAAATACACTTCTCTTTTATATTCTCATTCCCATAATGGAACAGAAAATTGAGCCTAATGCTGCTTTGTTACTGACACTTCAAAAAAGATCTAATTAGTTTCTCTGACAAAGCAGTAAATCTTTAAATTAAAGAGTTCAGGAGTGCTGAGCCCCATAAATTCCCTAAGGAAATTTAAATAGGAGTACGTTTTAAACACATCCTTCCTGGTGCTTCCAATGAGGCAGCCAGTGCTGTCCCCTGACATCAAACATCAATATATCTTGAATATAGACGATTCAATCACAGGCATGTAATATTAATAAAATAAAATTCCATGATGTTAAGGAATTAGAAGTCAATCTCCAGAATGCTGGAGAATGAGACAGAAAAGATGTCAACAAATACAAAAGGTCACGTTCTTCTATAACAATAAAAAAACAGTATTTTTTTTTTTTTTTT